TAAAATTCTTATCCTTATAGCCAATTTTCTTATTCGTAAACACCTTCATTATTTTATTTATGTTCAGAGTTTTTTTTTTTTTAGATGTTCGTGTTAGGATTTGAGTTGGTATGTTGGACAAAAACTGAATAATTTCTTAAGGTAAAAACAATTACTTTTTTAAGCTTTTCTGAAGATAACGACTCTAAAATATTATGAAAAAAAAAAAAAAAGGGGGAACATATAAGAAATTTTGCTCATTTTCTATTACTAAAAAAAATGAATCAAAAAGGAATTTACAATATTTTCTCCCTGACGTTGCCACGTAAGTTAGCATGTCTGATGAATCCGCCAAGGGGCAAACCCGTAAAACAAAAAACAAAAAATCCTACCAACACTGATCCGTCTCCCATGTCCGGGTCGGGTATACCCGGGACCTGACTCGCCTCGCCCGAGCCCCCAACGACAAGTCGTACAACGCCCTCGCCGTCGGATCGGACAGCGTGGAGTACGCGTTGTGAATCTGGATGAAGTCTCGTCCGTCCGATGACGATCCCAACGCGTCGGGATGGTACATCTTCGCCAGGTTCCGGTATGCCATCTTGATCTCCGTCAAAGACGCTGTCCGATCCACACGCAGCACCTCGTACAGGCTTCCCGCCCTATTAGTCTCTACGGCCAGATTAAACGACGCTGTCTGGACCGAATTCCTTGTGGTGAATCGTGTTGCAGTCTTACCTAAACTTCTCCGGGTAGAAATTGGAGGACAACCGACCGGCTGTCCGACGAAATTCGAGGTTAGGGTTCCGTGCATTGATGAAGGGGGGAATAGAAGGTCTGTAACCGTATGGAAGAAGCAAGAGGAATTTGATTTTTGGGAATTTCCTTGAAGACTCTGACGACGAGGAATTGAAGTCGGAAGTAGTGATATTTATATAGGGTCAAATGTAGAGGAGAACCGCTTCCGGTTTCCGAGAGATGTAAAAAAACCGTGTGTTATCCCGTCGGTATTTGCTTTGGGTAAATATCGTTTTGGTACCCCTAACTTTCTTTGTTGATTTAAAAATATCCTCAATGTATATTTCCTTCCAATGGTACCCGAAACCACTTGGATTCATTCAATATTATCCCTAAGGGTTGTTCTCTTTTTTCTTGTGTAGATTACACATTAGGAGTTGGAGGAGTAATTCTCTTTCTCTTAAACCATTTATTTCTTATTAAAAGGTAGATTCTTTTAAGATATAATTGTTATAGAATTTTATTATAAACAATTTTTTTTAGTATATGATAAGATAATATTTATTGTCTAATTAGCAAGTTTTTTTTTTATAATTAATTACTTTAAAAATATAAAAGTTGAAGTTGATTTCATCAAACTATTAATAATAATTTTCACATGTGGCAAAGTTTATAAAATCATCTTATGTTAATCAATCATCTTAAAAATATGCAATGGAAATCACATAGTCTAAACCAAAACAAAAATTGGACCATAATTGGTTGCAATTAAAATATCTGAGATACAAGTTAAAGGAAATAAAGGTTGAGAACATTTTTGGAAACCACAAAAAAAAAAAAAGCATAATATTCTTTATTTCATAAATGCTAAGATGATATTGATTGTTTTTATATTTTAATTTTCTTTATTTTTTATAGATATTATTATTATTAGCTTCTAGAATATCTTGAACATATGTAATGGCAATCGTGAAGACTAAACCAAAACAAGAATTGGAGCATAATTGGTTGTAATTAAGATAGTTGAGATACAGTTGAAAGGAAATAAAGGTTGGAAACTTTTTTGGAAACCAAAAAAATTTTAAGCATAATATTCTTTATCTCATAAATGCTGAGATGACATTGATTGTTTTTTATATTTTAATTCTCTTGATTTTTTATAAATATTATTATTATTATTAACTTCTAGAATATTTTGGATATATGTAATAGAAGCTGTGTAGAGTAAACCAAAATAAGAATTGGACCATCATTGGTTTCGATTAAGATATTTGAGATATTATTGAAAGGAAATAAATGTGGAGAACATGTTTGGGAACCACACAAAAATTTGGGGCATAATATTCCTTATTTCAAAAATGTTGACATGAGGTGGACTATTTTTTTAAGTTTTAATTTTTTTTATAAATATTATTATTATTAGCTTCTAAAATATCTTGAATATATGTAATGGAAGCTGTGAAGACTAAATCAAAACAAGAATTGGACCATAATTAGTTTCAACTAAGATATCTGAGACATGATTGAAAGGAAATAAAGGTTGAGAACATTTTTGGGAACCACATAAAAATTTGGGGCATAATATTCCTTATTTCAAAAATATTGGGATGACGCTGACTATTTTTTACGTTTTAACTTTTTTTAAAATTTTTTTTTTATAATAATTATTATTTGCTTCTAGAATATCTTATCATTCTTCTCTGGCTCTCTGGCTTTTCAGCTCGAGCCGTTTAAAAAGTGGTTAGCTTAGCTCAGTTGCATGAGTTGGGCCTAGATTCCATGCTACTAATTTAAACTCTCCCATTATGGTGTTTTTTTACACCCTAGGGCCTAGTTAAGTACAGCTGAGTTGTCCGCCTTAATTTTATATGGTTAAAACTT